TATTATGGACGTGTTGAATTTGCATGATCCGTATTGGTATTTGTTTGATCGTTTCCAGTTCCTCTTCCACCTCCCGACCCGCTAACGTTCTAATGAGAATGAAGGTGAATGCTTGCCATGATCCATCAGATAAATTGAGATTGTAAACACAACCATAGAAGTCAAAACTTTCGGGGTTTCCAAACTCATGGAATATTGATACCTTGATAGGCATACTTTGATTGTCCTTGATAGGCACGTTCGTCACAACGCTTGGCACAGCTTTCGGCACAACTCAATCACTCGGTACGAATTAAGGTGTGCAAAGTTGAATTCCCCTTACTCGTTTTTTTAGTTTGGCAGTTAAAGAGAATTGAAAACGTTTCAGGTTGTAATATTGTAGGAAGACCTTAAAATTTAAATAAATGTTTATTGTACCTCAATTAATTTATAAGTTGATTATTTCCCTTTCCCGCAGTCGGCCTAATGACCCATCCCGCCTAAAGGAAAAAAGGTGTTTGGCCTAAATGGAATGAAATAGCTTTTTACAAGGTGGCCACTGAACCGGGAGAGTCGGGAAGAAACCGGGCATTTGATTTGAACTATAAGGTAAGTTGTTTTGTATAAGCATTTATTATTTGAATTCTGCTAATGAAGTTTCAAAACCTGACATCACATTGTTCTATTAAGTTCCCAAAATTTCTACTACGTTTCCTAAATTTCTATGATATTCCCTTAGAAGTGCTTGAATTTGGATTGCGTGTAGAAAAATATCAATATTATTTAACAGCGATACACTTCACATCCAGTGACCTATTTTAGAAACTGTAAACTAGCACTAACCTCGCAGTTTCAAACATCCAACGGCAACCGGTAGTACTATTTAGCATGTTTCATTTTCTTTTATGAGCAAACTGAAATAGGCCGTGATATGTCTCTGTCACACCCAGTTGATAACGTCTCCTATGATCGCGAGACATTCACACTCACCCACAACTTCAACTCCTGACCTTGAGTTTCAAAGTACGTGAGCAGAACCAATCGTCCGCAAAAACAGAAATCTATATTATTTGCAAATATTTTACTTACCAACTGTACATTCGACGTGCGCATCAAGAAAGGTGATAACTTCAGCCGTTGCCATCTTAAGACCCAGTATTCGCGCCCTGATGAGTCCCAGTCGCATGGGAGCTCTTACTATTCTCACTTTGGAGTACGATTGGAAGTAGTCATCCAGCTGGGTTTTTGTGTGTGCTAAATTCGAAAAAAGTTAAACATCATGACATTCAACACCACGGCATGCACTCACGAAGGTAGGAATAGTCATCAACCAGAACGATTTCCTTCACCAATTTGGGCGGACTCCTTTCCAAAATTGAATGCACCGTACGCACCAACACCGACCAGGCTTCGTTGTAGAACACAATCACGACGGAAGTTTCCGGAAGGTCTTGGAGGAATAGACCCGGCTGTTTGCACCACTCATTACGAACGTCGGGAAGTCGCCGCCGTACGGACATCAGATCCGACGCAAACTGATTCAGTCCCTGCATGTCGAAGCCCTGTTTGATGAGTTTAGGTATTTCCGAGTTGATGACATCGATCACTACAGCATTTCCCATGTCTCCCGGAGGGGGTGGAATATCGAGATCCAACGTTTGAGAGACATTTTCAAAGTCGGTGAAATTTGTCGTCGATTTCGTTGTGATTATCGATAGATCCGATTCGTTGTGGCTCTGAACGTGCCTCAATTGTATAATTTCTCCAATTAACACAGATTGATGTCTCGAATTGAGAATATTGACCACATTCAACGCAATCAGTGCTAGAAGCAGAACTCCCAGCAGCCGTTTACTGGTATTTGCCTGTTCAAAATTGAAGTTTTCAATATATTTATAAACCAAGTTGAACAATTTTCCAATCACTTATTACCCGAATCATACTGCTCACCAGAACAGTTCACGAAAAACTGCTGGGAATTGGTTCCGTATGATACAACTATCGGAAACTGATACCGTTACATTCAATATTTAGAATCTCTAGCGGATTTGCACTACTGGAGGTGTCAATTAACTTTATCGAAAATCCCATAACAAGCGGTGTTTATGCATTTAAGATTCTCAAACGAGCAAAGTTGAAGATTCGCCAATTAACACGAAGGTGTGATATTAGTACGGTTGCGGGAGCATAGTTTTAAATAAGGTTTTTCGGGTGTCTTCAGTGCATTTCTCTGTACAAATATCAATGATCTATTGATGACTGCTTTTAAATTCATTAAACTCAAACCAATCATCTATAGGGGTTAAATTTTTATACAAATGGGGATGCCATAGAATTTCCTGTATTTGTCACACGATCCTATTGCCTTCACAATTTCCAACAAATTCTTAAGCCAGTTAAATCTGGACGCAGATTTTAATTTATAGCAGCGCTCCTGGAGATCGATTCTGAATTGTTTTGACAACAATCATAGAACTAAAGGGCAGTGCAAATAATTTCAAGGAAATCGCAGAAATTCAGGGAAGTTCCGGAAAATTACTAGAACCTAAGGGAAGTTATATTAACATCAGAAGAAGACAAAATGAGCGTAATTAAAAATGATTATTATGGGAATTTCAAGAACTTCAAAACTTGGCGAAAATTCAACTAAGTTGATTAGAGAACTTCAAAGCAGTCTCATTAATTAAAAAAGCGATATCTTCAAAGGAATTTAGAAATTTTCAGATAGTTTCATGACATTCAGCAAAGTCAAGAGTACATTTAGCACTATCAGATAGCTTCAGAGCAATTCAGAGCAAAAAAATTAATTTAATAGGGAATTTGCAGAGACAGAGACAAAAAGTTCCGTGAAATTATGGGATATTGCTAGAATTCTATTTTGGAGGCGAACCAGCCCAAGGCTGAAAGCCTCCCTAATAAAGTTAAATAATAATAATAGAATTCTATTTATCCAAAAACATCATATGGGTACTATAAATATTTAGGGAAAAGTATAGAGTTTAAATATTCTAAATCGCGTTGAATTTAAATGTTCCCACATTCCACATCCGTTGAACCATTCTGAATGGCCATCCCGTAAAAGTGAAAGAAGAGCAGTAAAATAGAGCACATGCGATACGACAATGGAGTGATGCTCGATAAGAAAATACACGGAGATGGGCACTGTTTATTTTCCGCGCTGGTGTTACACTCTTATAAGACACCACTAGGAGCTCAAGATCATCATAGAATTACGTTGAAACGTCGTGGAACACATCAGAAATAACATGGGAGACTTTCGGGAGACTTTCGGGGGACTAGTAGTTATTCTGACTGGACAAATATGAAGCGTTAGAGAGATAAAGTACAAGGGTTTCCAAAAGAAGCAATTAATGGCGGCTGAAGAGCAGAAATGGTGAAGACTGTTCAACTATACTTTACCAATTAAGTATCAAAATTAAACTAAATACGTGTCCGGTTTGAAAGGAATGTTTTTGAATCTGGAAGTGTGAATGTTATACCAATATCCATTTGATAACGGTGATGCATGCATGTGGGGCTTATTCTGAGTGAAAGTGACCTCGGAATGGGCGTGACTCTCTAGACATACTGAAATAGGCAGCTGGATCTGCAATAAAGTTATCACCTTTTAACTCCCGGACTAAAGCTGTCTACAATTACCGCGAACAAGAAATTGTAACTGGCCTTTTTTTCTATAATACCACACAATGTATACATTGATTTAAGGAATGTTCCGTAAGTGTTTATAAAGTTTACAAAACTTTAGAAAAATTCAGAGCAGTCTAGAGAATTTTTAGAAAATTTTCAAATCTTTTGGATAGCTTTAATAACATCACGAAAGTCTAAACTATTGGAAAAGTTATGAACTAGTGCCGATAATTTAAAGCCACTTCCATGAACAACTTCAGGAAAGCCTCGACAACTTCAGTGAAAATAATTGATTTTAAATTTAAATTTTTGAGACAGAATGGGGTCTTAAGTACACAGACCACACCTCAGAAAGCAAGTCGAACATGGTGATCGACATGAAAACTTCGTTGAAAATCTTAGATTAATATTAATTATTTCGTTTGTATTTCAGAAAAAAAAATAAGAAAAGTTTCAGAACTTTCAAGGAAGGAAAGACATTTCAGAAAACATCAAAAGCTTCACAGAAGCCCAGACATCTTCAGAAAAAAACTTCGAGAGCTTAATTTAAGTCCATGAAACACTAAGGTAGACTCAAGATCTCCACGTATGTTTCATGAACAGGAAAATGTAGGAACATTTCAAAGAAGTTTCATAAGATACAAAAATTCTGGAACTCTGGATTCCCAAACTTAGAGGGAACTTTTGAGAAGTTCCTAAATTGTCAGGAAAATTCCCTAATTTGCAGAGACGTTAAGATATTTTTGAGATCTTCACGTAAGTTCAGTGAACTTCAAGGAAGCTTACACATTTTTGGACAGTTTGATTAAATTCATGACAGTAGAACAAGTTTCACGAGAACAGCAAAAACGTTAAAGAAGTTTCAAGAAATTCAGGAAGGAACAGAGATCTTAGCAGTTCGATAAACTTTAGAGAAATAACATAATTAAACAAAAAAGTTTCGTGAATTTCAGCGAATTGTTAAAACATCACGAGCTTCCCACATTCTAGAAAAAAAATTCGGAAACTTTACGGTCGTGAAATGAGAAAGCGCCGTAAGCGTTACCATGTTCAATTTTCACTTCTCACCATTTTAAACATTCTATTCTGCTTCGAAGCCATCACTTTAAGCTGCTCCAAAATCCTATTACCAACTTTACCATTGACTACCCATTTTAAATTAAAATTGTGGGATATGATAATATCTGTACTTGATAGTATTGATCTTCCTAACATTATGTCTAACGAGATACCCAGAATGCACATATTTTCCCCAACAAAAATAATCTTCTCAGGGTGCCCATTTTACCCCCACAACGGCTAATCAGTCAGTGACTTTGTTTGAAGACCCCCAACCTAACTTACCACGAGGAGGATAACCTTTCTCTTTTATATATGTTTATTTCCGCATCATTCCGTATTCATATATTTAAAATTTCGTCAATCAATCCAGGTTCAAAAACGGAAACTCCCACTTTTGAGATTCATTCGAAGAGTTGCACTCTTCTACAGTAAGATTCATTGATGGACCACTGCCAACAGATAAGCATTTTTTATGCTTTACACTAGAGAACTGCTTGCTACTTTTCGAATACCGCCACTCCTGATTTCCTCGACTCTTATGGCAACCAAACATTTGCAGCATATTTCCATCATAGTCGAGGCATACGTTGTTGGTACTGATTTCTCCCAACATGTTGTAAACCCAATGTTGGTAGTCTTGGTAACTACATGGCTCCAATTTGAATGTGTATCCGGCTTTTCGATACCGAGGACAATAACTGGGTCCAGCTCCGAGGTTCACGAACTAAAATAGAAGGCCTTGGTTAACCATTGATTTGGAAATTCTACACAAAATGATATTAACCTTTCCATGGCCTGCTCCGGCTGCAACAGGATCCGCCAGCTCAGGGAAGGCATTTTCGATATACCACTTGAACGATTTACAATTGAGACTTTCGCGTAGCTTAATTCTATCGGAGACATCCCCAAAGTCCCCACGAAACTCTGGACCGCCAAACATGTCGTACACCACCTGAGAGTACTGATCCAACCAGACTTCCGCCACTCGAACCGAGTTCACTCGAACCCAGTCGGTCTTCATGCCATTCAGATACGGATGCCCAGCCTTCTGGATATGACCGACCCTCGAGCAAGGTACCGTTTCCAATCGTCCACCACACATCCACGCTTTTAACGAAAGTTCCACATTTTCTCCTCCGTAGATACCGAGGCCCTCATCGTACCATCCCAAATGAGCGAAAAATTTCTGGTTGATCGAAAACAGTCCACCGGCCATGATGGGAGTAGGAAAAGGTTCGAATTTATTTGTCGGTTGAACCATCCGGTCCCATCGTCCACGCCAACCGAATTGCAGTCCCCAATCACAGGCACCGTAGAACATGTGTGATTTATTTGAAATGTAGGCCAGATTGTGCTCATCGATCCAATCGATTGCTGGGAGAGCGATGGTTGTAGGATTCCTTGCTACTCGGTCTATTTGAGGCTCGAGCCATCCAGTTGTACACTCACAGTGAGCGTCCAAGAAGGTAAGGATCTCTGTAGTGGCATTCTTAGCACCAAGTAGGCGTGCCCTGATTAACCCCAACCGCTCAGTTGATCGAAGTATGCGAACTTTTTGTTCGGTAGCAAAATAGTCCTCCAATTGAGTTTTTGTGTGTGCTGCAAGAAAATGTTCGATCAAGTTAAGAAATCAACTAACGTGATTAAAACTCACGCATAAAGGAAAAATCATCCACTAACAGCACTTCCTTGACCAACTGCGGTGGTGATCGATCCAGCACAGAGTGAACCGTTCTCACCAACACTGACCAAGGTTCGTTGTAGAACACAATAACAACTGTAGTCGGTGGCAGGTGAGTCAGTATTCTTCCCGTTTCTTTGCACCAAGCGTCTCGGTAGTCGGGCAGTCTGCGATGCACGGATATCAGAGCACTGGCATATTCATTCAGAGCGAATATTTTGAACTGTCGATCCATCACTTCCCGAACACCCATGGGCGCGTCAACCGGAACGAAAACCGGTTCACCCATATCACCGGGAGGATTCGACAAATTTTCATCCAACGGGTTCGCCGTGTAGTTGTGTAGTACTGAAGCTGTTACGGAATCTACCAAAACGTGGTGAGGATGTTCCTTCTGTTCCAATTGAAGTTGTAAGCTTTCGATACGTGCACTCATTGTCCGATGATAATAGATAAACAGCATAGTGACACTCAATACAGCAATACAGATAAGCGCTGATTGGTTATGTTTCAGGAAGCGAGTTAAATGCTACAAAAATACGATAAACATGATGCAATGGCAGTAAGCCGCAAATCACATTGCGCTGATTAATTGTACTTACCATTTTGTGTATACGACAAAAAAATCGTTTGTTGACGTTTTGTAACCGCAGCAGGCGTTTGTATCACTTTTATGGTTGAACAACGAATAATGCCGGTCGAGTAGAGTGACATCAAAACAGAAAAGATACCTTTATCATCGGCTCTTCTTATCTATACAAAGACTATAGCTCCTCAAAGCATGGTGAGCGCGAGTGGTTCCATTGATAAATTCACGCTTTTCGCTCCGGACGACGGAGAGTGAGATAAGTTTTAAATATGGTGCAATTTTGTTTATGTTTGTGTATTTTCGACTTGTGCGGTACAGAAACAGTTCGATTTCTTAGACTTAGATAAATCCCTAGTGCAACACCTGTTGCTATCTGATAGAAGTCAAAAGAGGTATTCAAGCATCTATCAACTTGGATGGTGCAGGCGAGCTCGTGCGTGAATTATGACGGTTGATATAAAGTTTACAAACTTTTTTCTTCATGATCAACGCTGTTGTTTTCTGAGAATGGTTTACAACTTTAAACCTTGCATGTACCTGTTTTTCTATAACAAACATGAGACATTGTTATGAGCTGTAGAGCAGTACGTTTGAAACAATGAAACTTTTAACTGCGTGTTTTCTTCTTGCCAGATGATGCATTTTATACATTTCTAGATAAACATTTCAAAAGGTCCTATCTGCATTCATCGATTCTCTTAATAGACTATCTCTTTCGTTAAAAACTCAATTTCAAAAGCATTCCTTACTGTGTTCAAAGTTCTAAGCGCAAGACAATAACTTCTGCTATCAAACTGTGTGGCCAAAAGAGCACGAAATATGTTTGCGTAGGCGTGGTTATCATAGAAAGTCGATGAAGAGGATCGATCAAAGCAGATAGGACCTTTTGAAATGTTCATCGAGATATAGGAATCTCAGCTAAATTTTTGTTGGTGAGTAGGCTGTGGAATTTCGACATAAGGAGTTGATTATTGTTTTGAGATGGACAGTGTTGGTGAGAACTCTATAGAATGATGTTATGAGTAAAAAGTTAGATTTTGGGGTCATCTATCCGCATTTTCCAGTTTTAGATAATAACAAAGTGATCCGATTAGAGTCATCATTCGTAAAACACTCTAGAAAAAGCATAGATGACTGTCACCACAAAACTGAAAAAAAGATGTTCCAATCGAGCAAAACAGTGCATTTTGGCTGTACGATTGGATACTTTTACTTAGAGGACTTTAATCATTCGTTGGAACTTAGCTTCATCCCATCTACCGAGTGCTGGGACGGTTTTGTCGCTATTGAACTGTAGCTTTATGATCAAAACAACTCGCAAGAAATGGGAATTAGCAATTAAATTTTCAACTATAGATTGACTCCATTTTCTGAAGAGATAAATTGCTTTTTAGTGGGGGTCTGTTCACATTCCATGTGGACATATTTTGAGAGGGATTTGACCGTGCCACCCCATGCGTGGACAATCATCCATACAAAAAAAATATATGGACTGTGGGCGTTTCCTGAGCAAAGATTTATACCAAATTGATTCAAATACCCGGTAATCATGGTTTGATATCATTTTGGTCGAATAAACAGCCAATCTAAAAGAGCAATTGCACGCCAAATTGACGAATCGGAAAATCTCGACCTTCTCCTATTTGCATGAAACTTTGCATAATTGTTTGTTCTGGGCAATGATTAACATTTTTGCTAAAGTTCGACAATTTTAGATCTTGTAAAATTTTCAAAATGGCGCCTTTGAAATTAAAAAAAAAAATTGTAGCATATAAACGGTACTTCTGATTGAAATGACGTCCTCCATTGTAAGACTCCCTCTCAAATCTTTGTAATGTTTTTCATCGAATATGTGGATGGTCTGTTTATGCTGACGTAAGATATTTTTGAGACAACGTACTCCCCCCCCCCCCTTTTTAATGTTTCTGTAATTATTGAGTGGTCTTATAAATGATAATATTGAAAATATTATAACATTACTAAACAAAAGGCAATTAATTTATGACCTATTCAACTCTGAAGTTTGTTCTTATTAGCTAATATGGTTCTAAAGCTATCGTACAACATTGCCCAAGTAACATTTTACGTTTTATGAAATACTATAAGGCTACTATAAAACAACCTTCATAAAACCCTGGTCAAGACCAGTGATGGAATTCTCACCAAAATATCATTTTCGCTTGCGATACGTTTTCTCTTGGGAACTTTCCCTCACTAGTTTCACACTCCAATATTTCCTGAGCGAACTTTCTGGGATGAGAGAATGCGATATCGCGAACTTTTTTAACTCGAATCACCAACGTGAGGATACGAAAAATATCAGATCATTTTTTCTCTCTATCTCTTTACACCACATTCGTTCTTGAAAATTGCACTGCACATTTCACAAGGGAAAGATTATAGACAGAAAGCTATCCAACGGCGCCGGTGGTGTAGTGGTAAGCGTGATTACCTCTCACCCCAGAAGGCCTGGGTTCAATCCCAGTCGGCGCCGCCGGGATGTTCTGAGGCATAACATCTCTGATCACGCCTTCCTTCGGATGGGAAGTAAAGCCGTTGGTCCCCGGTTCATGAGTTGATGGGTCGATAGGTAGGGTCCAGGTGTGGGAGCTGCCTTCCTGGCACGTCGGTAGCATTGGTGCTCAGCACGGAAAACAAGATCGACGGAAAAAACAAACCAAAGGAAAAAAAAAAGAAAGCTATCCCGAGTAAATCAATACAATCTCTAAAGACTGATAAGTCTGATACCTGGCTGTCTACTGGCGCCTGTTGTTTAAAGTAGCCGTTATCAGGATGATGTGAACAGTTTTGTGCAACTGATTGATTGGTGCATTGGTTTCTGGCAAAAAAAATGAATTAATCAGCACAAGTGTCAACGCGACATTAACGAGGAACGGGGAAGGTAGTGTAAGATTTTGTGACTAGCAATTTTTATATTAAAACCGTTCCTCAGGATAGGGGGTTGCGGAAGGAGGAGCCTAATGTATCCTCATTTTCACGAAATACAGTTAATGCATGGCTCCTCTCATCACTAGTGTTCGTAATATCGTTCCTGTAAGCTCTTATGCAATAATTATATGCAGGGGATGGTTGGGAATATAGGTGGCGGTGAACTTTTTCACTGTGCTATTACCAGTGCTGTAAATTCTCAAAATCATTTGAACATTTTTGATGAAAATTAGAAAAGTAGCTATTCGCTATCAAAGGGGACCTCCTCCGAATGGGTGATATCAGTTGGTTAGTCATTTGACGAAGGCATGGATCATTCTCATTTGAGAAACGCTATATATCATTCGATTGAGTGTAACCTACACACAAACGGAGCTCTGGTCGACATTCCGGCGAAAAAGCTAAGCCAACCCGACACCAACCTGACTTCTATCAAACCCCAACCCGATGTTGACCCGACATTCACCCGACATAAACCCAAAATTGACCCGACATTAACACGACATTGGGTCGACATCGACCTTAAATTAGCCTTACATTGATCCGACATCGGGTCGACTTGTCTGTTCGGGACCATTTTCCTGGATTTCTTCCATACTCCACTGTCGTATATCAAATGATACTGAGTGACTCAATTGACAGTGACAATGAGCTTCGAATGAGAAAGGGGCTCTTCAAATTATGGTCATGTGAGAATTCGTTTACACAATTCTGTGAATGGTTGTAGTGGTTCATCTTCAATCGAATGATATGAAAATTTACAGCACTGGTTACAAGTATCTATTATTAGCAGGTTGCATTGAGAACTAAAACTATAAATAAATCCGGAAAGCTTTGAGATTAGGGCGTAATTTCTTTTGTAAACACACACTTAATTCGCCGATTTCTCGTGAATTAAAGTTCAATCTAAAAAACTAACAACACAGACAGGTAGAGGAATGATTCATTTGGTATAGTATAGTTCGCTAGATTGTGCTTTGATTCGTGAGAAATCGCTGAATGACGTGTTTGTTTACAAAAGCAATTACGCCCAAATCTCAAAGTTCTCTGGAAATGGTATTTAATGTGAAGGATGCGAAAAATATCGGAGAACGAGAAGAAAACAAACAGACACTCTCGCATGATCATCGCCTACCTTTACTCGCTGGAAAAAAAAGAACAAAGCTGAGGGGATATTTGGTTGGTTCGAATCACGAGTACGTGTGAAATGATGTGAGATGGAGAGACGAAAGATCTTTCGCGATACGAAATGAAAATTTCTCTCGCTCTACGCTTTCATGAACTTTTTATCATCTCTCGTTCGCGAACTTTTTGTGAGAAGTTCCTTTGGGATTTATCTCTGCAATGAGCTGTGATAGAACTTTTTTTGAAAATGATTTTTCCAACACTGGTCAAGATGGTTTTGCCTTTATTACATCCACCAAAACCTCATTAAGACTAGAATCTGTCTAGTTGGCCCACCCCGAAGAAGGTTTTGAAGGGCATATTTTCGAGGCACTTCAAGATTGATTTGCTGCAAAAAGGTAATACGATGAAAGCATTGAAAACCATATGAAATCCTTATCAAAACTACAATAAAAGCCGTTTAGCATCAATACTTGTACCATTTGCCTTTGGCGCTTGCCAACCGCACTTAAAATAAAGCATCAATCAAGATAAAAAGGGATACATAAATATCATCAGATCTTGCCAAATTCATTGTTCAAAAATGAATCTTTCAAAAATCTTCTTAAATTTCCTCATCTAATGTGAAAGAATTACCAAAATTATCAAAGCAGTTCTCATTTTGTGGTCTATTTTTAGGTGACAGATTAAATCTAATGTGAAATGTACTTCGAAAGATCGAAAAAAATAAGTCCGCCTTCAGAAGTCGTTGATTAAACTTATTATTTTTTTTTAAATTTATGAAACAACGTATAGTTATGTTTTATATCAATCATTGCGTCCAGCCGAGATAATTTAATGATTTTCGGAATCTCTATTACTGCTCATTGTTGAATTTATGAGATTAAAGTTATTTTTATGGAAAAAACTTCTTGAAGAACGAAGATAGTAGAAAAACAAAACAAATGTACACGCAAATCAGAAATCTATTACAATGATTGTTAGTTCCGTTTCCTATCATCCTCTGTTCATGAACATCGCAACGAATGTTAGGAATTAACCATGCAGGCGATGTAATGGTTTTTTGTCTTTTTTTTATTTCGTGTTCTATCTACGCTCTCAACTATACCAGTAAGCTTGTAGATCGACGCACATTGTAGAACATTGTAGAACAACGCACACACTTGCCTCGAATCTCTCCAGCAGAAAAAGCATACGAAGTCGAGTATGCGAGAAAATGAGCGCTTCATGTTTGCTTTTAGCGAAGACAACAAATCAAGAAGACTGGCAACTCTTCCAATTTCTCATACGAACGCTATGAGACATGTACAATCGCGTCATCTACCGCTCAAAGGTAAATGCTTCGAACGAATTTGATAGCAAAGATTACATCCTCAGACGAAGGGTTTGTGTATTTGCTCATTTTTCTATGCGTTGCTTCCACCTTCACTCAAGCGCAGCGCTACTGTATCTGTCGCTTGGATTTTGGCAAAGTTGCCAGTCTTCTTGATTTGTTGTCTTCG